AAACCTTGCCAGATTTTTGGGTCTGCGGTCTGTTCTCCCTGGGTCCGTGTCGCTGGCCCGTTGCAAATCTGTCGTCGCCTGCTTATTGTTCAGCAGAATTTTGGCAACAGGCTCCTCCAAAAATCTCACCACATTCCTCCCCTCTTTTGCCCTCCGGAAAGCCGACGAAGCTACATTGTTGGTTCTCGAGCGATTCTCCACGTCTTCTAATTTGTCCCATATCTGGGTCCGACATCAGTTTTGCCTGGGCTGGCGGAGTATAAGCTATGCCACTCACTGCTCGGCTCTTTCCAAGTTACTCGGACTCGGCTCTTGCACGTCGTCCATTCTTTGTATTAGGGCTGAGAGTTTAGCCTCTACCCACCGGTGGTACGACGATTTTCTGCCAGCCCCCCGAAGATCTTCATAATCTGTTGTTAGTGCTGAGTAACTATGGTGAGCTGATATCTTGGGAAAAAAAAAGAAAAAAAAAAAAAACAAACCTATGTCGTTAGCTTTGTTGCCTGCTCGGGCTCGTCAGCTCCACCTTGGACCTTTGCATCATGGCGTCGGCCCCGGTGCGACCTGTAAAATGTTGTTTAATATTTCTCCGCCAGGCCGCAGACTTCGAAAAGTTATTCGACATTTCTGCCACCTCTTTAATTAAAACTCCAATATGCTGGGATGGTCAGTATATCTGCGCGTAAATGTTTAAAATAAAGGCAGCAATGCAGTGCGGAGCCCTACTCCGTGGCTTCTTCTCGGATCGCGTCACGTGACTCCCCTGTTTTCTTTGATATTAATTAATTGATTAATTATTATTAATTATAAAATTATTATCTTTTTCCTTATAAACTATCATCCTGGATTAAATTGTGGAGCTTGACCTCTGTAAGCAGAAGGCCTATACCCCATTTGTTTTGCTCAGTGATTGTTGATTGAGTTGGATCTCACTGGTTGGCTGGTTTATGGTATCCAACAGGCAGCCTAGCCCTGGGACTAAACGTGGGAAAGTCTGTGTATAGTGTTAGCCATTGAAAAAATTATGAACAACATCATAATTAAAATCAACAGGAGTGCAAGGATTGATTTCATTTCCCGAACACTGCTCTGAACAATATGTTGTATAGTGGGAAAAAACGTTGCAAACCCTGCTAGTGACATGGAACATGCAGCTGGAATTCCTAATTTTGCTTTAGGAATAGCAGCTACACCTCTCCGTGCCACAGAACAAGCAGTGGAAATTCCTGATTTTGCCTTAGGAGCAGCAGCTACTACACCTCTCTGTGCCATAGAACATGCAGCTAAAATTCCTGATTTTGCTTTAGGAAGAGCAGCTACACCTCTCCGTGCCACAGAACAAGTAGTGGATATTCCTGATTTTACCTTAGGAATAGCAGCTTTTATGCAGGCCTGTGCCTTGGAATATGCATGTGGAATTCCTCCTAGTGCCTTAGGAGCAGCAGCCATAATTCCTGCTTGCGTCAAGTAAGACACAGTTGTTGTTCCTGCTACCTGTGGAAAACTACCACCATGCATTCTTGTTTGAATGTAAGGGAAAACTACAATTCCTAAAAAAGTAGCACCTGTTAAAAGATATTTGTTTTCCATCAACTCTGGGATCTTAATTAAGAGTTGTCCAAAACGCTCAAGGGCAGAAAGGTCATGTCTTTTTGGGGGCCAAGGATGCTTAGGTGTCCTACGAGGCCTAAGAAGCCTCTCAGCCTCACGCATTAGTCGCATTCGTCTTCTTTCCTGACAGCTAACCCGATTCTGAAGGGCTGTGTCAGTATTATGATTAGGAGGATTTTGCAAGCTGTTTGTTGGAAAGAAGCTGTGTAGTCTATGCTGAGAAGGGGTCCAGGCTACTGGCACAGGCTCCTTCATTTCTTTTTCCTGTAACGTGTTTCTTTGACAGTTGGACCAGGGCTGTGTGGGAGGACGAGAGTCCACAAAACGCAGCTGTCCAAGACGCTCAAGTGCAGGAAGGTCGTGTCTTTTTGTGGACCGAGGATGCTTAGGTCTCCTAGGAGGTCTGATAAGCCTCTCAGCCTCACGCATTAGTCGCGTCTGTTGTCTTTCCTGACAGCTAACCAGATCCTGAAGGGCTGCGTCGGTATCATGATTAGGAGGCTTTTGCAAGCTGTTTGTTGGAAGGAAGCTGTGTAGTCTATGCTGAGAAGGGGTCCAGGCTACTGGCACAGGCTCTTCCAAGTCTCTTTTCTGTTGCTTGTTTCTTTGTGGAAAGCCTTGACTGTTGGAACAAGGCTGTGTGGAAAGACGAGGCTCCACAAAACGGCGCACTGACTTTGTGACAAAAGTACCCACAAAATAACCAAGACAAAATACAACCATGTCTATCTGAGAGTGTTTGTCCAAGTTATGAACAGGGATTAAATCTATGACTTAG